TGCAGAAATTGGTAATGGAACCCCAAACACCTCAGGCCCAATTACTGGAGACAACCCCTTTGGAGTTTTTAACAACTAGTAGCAGCAGAGGAAAGAAAAAGAAGGGAAAGGGCTAGAGACAGAACATGCTCAATTCTTGGCTGCTGTCATGGCTAGAAAAAGACCCAAGAGTGTTCCTAACAACTCCTGCAGTGGGAAAACCTACTTTCGATGCCACCAGGCAGGTCACTGGTCAAAGGAGTGCCCCTCCAGGGTGCCTACTTGGAGGAAGCTACCTTCACCGTGTCCAAGATACGACCAGGAGGGACACTGTAGGAACGATTGTCCTTGAGGTTGGAAAAGTGAAGGAGTTGCCCCCCAATACTCCATCCTCCACTCTTCTCAAGACTGGGAATGGCAAGGAAGCCTGGGGCTTTGTAGCGCTTCCGCTTTCTCCATTACTCTAGACAAGCCCTGGGCAAAAATTGAGGCTGAAGGTAAGGTTACCCATGTTATCATGGCTATGGTCTCTGTCTTCTGTTTTAACCAATTACTCTGGCCCTACCTGCCCCCTGACCTGTCTGGTCATGGGCACTGAAGGGAAAACTAAGGGATGTCTCCAGACACACCCACTTCCCTGCCTATTTGAGGATCTGTTGTTTGAATATTCCCTCCTTATGCTCTCCTCTTGCCCTGCCCCTTTGTTGGGAAGGGACCTGATGGTGAATTTGGGGAGCCAGTCTTCTCTAGTTAAGCTTCCTATCTCCCTTTTACCTCTGTGCACCAGACCTCCCCAAATTCCTCCAGAAATGTGGGAGAAAGCTGAGCTAATTGTTTGGCTTTTATAACTTGGTTACTGCTAAAATAGTTTAGCTACTGTTGGTTATTGTTTTAATGCGCAAACTTGCCAAAAAGCTCGTTGGGTTTTAATTTGCTAAGAATTTGCAAGTATATAGAAATCTCTAATGATTGGCTTTTTGCACTAGGACAAATTTAAGTTTGAGTTGTAAATCCTAGAAAAGTTTTTCCTCAGCTGTGATTAGTGAAACTTGTTGTTGGAGGTAAAAAAAGCTCATGGGATTTTATTTTGAGTTGCCTGATAGATCATAATAATCCACTGATAATCAATAATCTACTATCTGTGAGAAATGCCACAAGCTACTCCAAGAGAATGTAATACTGGGGGGAAGTCAGCATTGGGAAAAAGCTGAGAGAACAATTTTTAACCTCAGTCTAAGATGGGATCCTCCTGGCTCAGTTTCCCATTATGATCTTTGAAAAGGAATGTTACCCACCTGGCTATTCCTGAGACTATGAGGTGGATTTGATACTACATGGTTGGAAAACTGAGTTAGCTGAATCCAATCAGAGCTAAGGATGTTTTATCCTGTCACATCTGGGCCCTGTGGTCTTTTCTGTCAGATTTGTGTCTTCCAGACCATGGGCCATTACCTACAGTTGGTAGCAAACAGCAAGTACCAGCCAACGTCCCCCATCCTTCCTTGGATGCAGCCTGTGCTTGGCTCCAGTCAACCTCCTCTTTGGGACCCCTTCAAGGCAGGGACAGCTCTAAGCCCCTCACCAGCAGGAAGCAATTTCAGAAGCCAAGACCTTCGCCCCTTACCCCAAAAGAATTTAGGTCCCATTTGTTTAAAGGCAGAATAAGGAGGATGGCATCTAGATCCCAAAAAGGAAAAACCCTGGACTTTCCCACATAGCCAAATCTCTGGCTTCCCCTAAGGCCATAATCCCATCAACTGGCCTTTTATTGTGGCTATGCCCAATCTGTTACCCTTAACCTTGCCTAGATCTCCTATAGCCCTGGCCACTTCCCACCCTTAATCCTATCTAGGCTTCATTCTGCTTTGGCCACCCCTGGAGTTCTATTACTTCATAGACTACTTGGCCACTCCTAGATCCCTCCCATAGTCTTTCTGTATATAAGGTCCATCTTGTCTCCATTAAGACACTCTAATTCTTGTAATCTAGCCACTGCTCAGATTTTTACAATCTAGCCAATACCCCTCAGATGTTCAGATTCCTTAAGAGACTGGCTAATATGACAGATCTGTAATAAACCTTGTTTTTAGCTGAAAGAAGGCTCAGGCAGGACCCGAATGTCGTGGTTTTGGGATTCCATCACCCCTGAACCCCTAAACTTCATTAGTGACTTTACACAGCTCTCTCTCACTTAAATTTAATTCATTTGCATAACATGGCATCACCTCCCTGATATCATAGTCTTCTTCCAGAAGGAAGGAGAAAGACAAACAACAACCTGATGGGGTGTTTGGGTGCTTGTACTGGGACCCCAATTCCAAGACCATATTTCTCCCTAGCCTCAGAAACTATCCCTGGTAGTTTCTCCCCAGCTCATGTGTACTATGCCCAGCAGTTATTCATGAGTGGACCTCAGCAACACACTTATCTTTCCCTGCTGTAACAAACTGCTCCTGAAGGAATTATTAGTTTGAACTGGCTTTGCACTGGGTCACAAAGATTCATACCCACTGGACTATCTATACCAACTCCCTATCTCATTATCTCTATCCTGGATTCCTCATGTGTATCTTAGACTTAAGACATATGTATATCTACCTTATCAAACAAGACACTGATTGGTGGACAACCCTCAGTCAGCCTTGACCTCTAACTTAGTGTCTTAGCAGACCTAAAAACCATACCTCCATGGAGCACCCCCTTGGGCCTTTCCTGATGAACTCTGGGTAAAAAGCCTGTGCAGGAGATACAAAAAGTATCCTTTACCTTCCTTTAAGAACTGACCACTCCTTAACCACTCCCTAATCCCACCCTGAATCACCTAGTTAGCATATTTGGCACAAGTTTTACTACAGTTTATCCTATATAAACTTTAACTGAACCCCTCTAAGGTTGCAGGTTGCTTAAGAATCATTAACCACTGAAAAGTATAACAATAAATCTTTGCCAACTTGACTTAAAGAATGCTAATTAGGTGATAACATACAACTATGCCATTCACTACTGGAAACTGCAGGGAGGGGTGGGAGGAGGGAAAGAGAGGGTTCCTAAAGGGTATATTTTTGGTCTGTTACGTCTGAAACAAGATAGCTTCTGGAGTTGACGTCTATAGCTGGACCTCTGGATTGTATACAGTTACTGTGGGCATCAGTACTGGATAGTTCTTTCTACAGAGGTCAGCTCATTTTTGTAACAGAGAGAAATAGTTTGCCTCACTGGGCCCACTCATGAGTTATTGCCAAAGATAAGGTCCTTGAGCTGCAAAGAAACTGTCAGGGATAGTGCCTTGAGGCTAGGGAGAAATTAGGGTCTAGGCACCCAAGCACCCCCATCAAGACCTTTACTCCAAAAGATTTTGGGTCCCATTTATTTGAGGGGGAATGAGGGAGATGGGATTCATGCTGAACCCCTAAAAGGAAAAGAACATGTCTTAGGGACCTGGGCCCTAAAGCCCTTGAGCCTAGATCTCTGGTGTTAGCCTGAAGACACCCAGCCCATCCCAGTCAATAATCCTTTTAACTGCCCTTTCATTGTGGCCTTCATTGTCTGCACCTGGACCACACCCAGGCTACTTGCCCACTTGCTACTTGGCTACTTGATCCCACCCAGATCTTCCCACAGTCTTTCTGCATAGTCAATCTCACACAGATTCCTTAATAATCCCACCCACTTCTACTGGCAATACAATAAACTTTGTCTCTGACTAAAAGAAGGCTTGAGTAGTCAAATTCTTTCCAGGCCAACCCACACTGGCCCTGTATTTCTGGGTTCCTAGCACACCTAGATCACAACAGTCCAGGAGATACACTAATTGATGAGGTGAGGCAGACAGGAGTGCTAGAGGCAGACTGAGCAAGCAGGATGCAAGATGTGAGATATGAGATAAGATGCCAGGTTTGAGGGTCAGAAAGTCATCAAAGAAAACCCCCACCATGGACTTAGCAGTGTGCTTTCACAATGTACCCCCTTAGCAGATACTCCAGAACAACTCATCCCCTCCCCTTTCCTATTCTCTTTGCTTATTTATATGATAAAGGCACATCATGACTACTTGATATTTCCCCTCATAGCTACCTGATATTTCCCCTCCTCCTTCCACCATTCCATAAAATTTTATTTAAACCAGATCTTTATGCTGGCCAATCACCTCTGCCTCCTACAGGAAGCAGGGACCCCTCTGTGTCCCTTAGGGGAGCAGCCTCACTTGGGTGTGTCATCCCAATAAATGGTCAGACTCCTTGACAGTCTGCCCAATATCATGGATCTTCTAATCTTCTAACAAACCTTGTCTTTATCTGAAAGAAGGCTTGCATCGAATTCTTTTGAACAGGACCTGTGTGTTGTGATATGGGGGTCCCAGCACCCCTGAACCCCTAAACCTCAGTCATTCCCTAATTACCACAGGTTTAAGATAATTTCACACAAATATATTAATTTATGTCCTTACCTGATTCACATTTTTAAAAATTCTTTCCAAAGTTCAATATGGACCAAATTAAAGAATTCCACAACTTTCACATTGATTTAGCATAAGTATATTTAACTAAATATGTGGTCATTCAATTTAGTGTTTATAAGAAACCTTCAGAGTTAAATCCTAATTCCTCAATTTGACTAGAATTTCTTAATATTTTGTATTCTAGATCTTTATTTACATGAGAAGAGACTTATGATGTGCCACAGTTATTTAACAAAGAACAACTTAAGATTCCTTCATATTGCCATTACATAAGAAATTTAAAAATGTTTAAACATTTAAAGATTTTATTCTTTTTATTTTTCAACATTATGGGGATAATTATGATGCTCAAGTGCTAGCCAGAACACTTTTGTAACTGCACTTTAAGTATATCAAATAAAACCATATAGACACCAATGTACTTAATAGAAGAAAAAAAATTTTGAAATCAGAGTAAAATAAAACAGATTTTCAAAAATAAAACATGTTTGTTGAATTAACATGTGTAAAATGTATGGAGAAAATACAGTTGAGACATCAAATAAAGATGTTGTCACATTACCATTATGACGTCTTTCACCATAAGGTTCAAGTTTTGGAAGTACAGTGACTCTGGGGGTTGTTTCCCAGCCACCTGAAGGAAAATAGAAATATTCAAAAATATCACAGTGCTGTTAAGTTGTAGGCCTGCTCAGAGTATCCTTGTTTCATTAGGAATTAGGCATAAACTTAAAGGCCAAATAAAAAATAATGAATGACAATTCTAGATATCTTTGTATCTTTTTAAAATGTTTTCCAAGTTACACTTTTAAGTAAAGGCAGTTAGGCTCATTATATAACAAGTTTTATTCACATAGAATAAAGGGGAAAAATTTAGCACAGCATTAATTAATAATAGCGTTCAAATTTAATTAGGGATTACTAAGAAAAATGTCAAAGGAAATATACACACTTTTAAGTTCAATCATTTTGGAGTCAAAGTGATACTATAAATTGAAAATCAAATAGTTTCAGTAGTTACTCTAAAAATATTATGCAACGTGTCAAACTTGTATAGAGGCAAGTCTACATAACTGAGCTCTAATGCAGGGCTGTGAAAAATAGTATTCTAATGGGTCTCAATTCAAAACTTCACCATTCTGTGCACAGATCTTTAAAAGAGAACTTATCTTCCTATTTTCACTATGCTAGGGTTACCATGACTGATATTTTTTTGGAAACTGTGAAAACCTGCTAATTTAGGACTTAAAACCTGTTCAAAAATGTTTTGGGGGAAATTTTTTTTTTCTGATTACTCACCAGATAGAGAACACTGGGGTGATGTCACAATTTGTGGATCAGAATCTCCTGTATTAATTGGTGCTATCTGGTGACTTCTTAGGAACTTCAATTTTTTTTTCTTTCTACTGCAATCTATATGGAATATAAATATTAAGTTAAGAATAAGTTAAATAACTATAACCTTATAAGAATTGTAACATTATTTGAAGACAAGTATTAATTTTGTTTTTAAATCCTAGACTACAGATACTCATCCTCTATGCTATTCTTCCATCAGGAGGTGGAAGTGGCCTCGTATCCATAAAAACAAAATTAAAATTCTACTAGGTCCTACCAAGTTAGGAAAGTTTTCAGGTCAGGGCCTGGCAACAGGCTTTCTGTCTTTGAAGTTTACCTTGCTAAATCTAGAAAGGTTCATTGCCTAAGACGTGGCTACCAGGTGATGAATTTACATTTGGATATAGTAGCTCACTACCCACATTCTAAGGTGTAGAGGAATTTTAATCTGCCATGGTAGAAGACACCAACCCTGAATATATCACCCTGACTGGCAGTTCCAGTCCAGTAGTAACTCCCAACCATTGATCCTAAAGTCTTCTAAGGTTAAGCATAACAAGTCTAATCTCTCCTCTATACAACAACTCTTTCAAACTTTTGCATAAAGAGATCCCACAATTCTTCCTTGTCTTATCTAAGCCAAATTAACACAATTCATTCAAGAGATTCTTGTGTGATGAGATTTTAGTACTTCTCACACTCCTGGTAGCCCTCCTAGGGACAGTGTTTACCACTAGTAAAGTAGTAAACTCCTATAATCCTATCTAAATAATGGGGTGGGAACAGATAGAGAGAGCTGAGGCTCTTCAAGCTCTTGAGTTTGGGATTTCTGAGCTGTAGAGGGGTATGTCCATATGGTGAGCCTTGGGAGTAGGGGGTCACCAGATTGCCTAAGGAGGGATAAACTAGTGCAGGTTAGAAAGAGCAGGTCAAAGCTATTGTGCTGATCAGGAGGAGGATCCAACCTCCGAATAGTTTCTGAGATTCCAGCCTTGCTAAGATGGGGAGACCCAGTCTTTTGAAACAAAAATGATATTCTAAACTGGATACACTACTCCAAATGTACTCTAATCAGAATGGAATATATTGCCCTTGTTATGAACATTATGCTTTTATAATGCATCCTGAAACATTCTTGACTTTTTTGGTGGTGATATCACACTATAGGCTCATACTAAGCTCAGTCTACCCAAAGCCCCAAGGGGTTTAACAAAAACAAACAAACAGAAAGAAAACCTCCCCAACTCTTGAACTTCTTACATTGCTATCTTGTACTTGTGGAATTTACTGCTTGAACTGGAAAGTATAAGACTTTCTAGTTCTATCTGCTGAAAGTGACATTTTATGAAATTTCCCCATACTTGATACTTTATTGAGATCATCATGAATCTGTTTTGTCATATTAGCTTCATATTATTTACAAACGTGATTAAGCATTCCATCTACATCTTTAAGCATTAATCTAAATAGTAAATTGACAAAGCCTGGCACAGAGCACTGGGGCATTCATGACTGAAGACAAAACTTCCATGCTTGTATTAATCCCCATTAATGAAAATCTTTGGTTTCAATAATTTGACTAGTTTTGAGATTTTGCATAACTGCACATTAGCAACAAGTCAAAATCTTTCTATCTCCAAAATGATATTATAAGAGAAAATGTCAAAACAGCCTTACTAAAATCTAGGCATGTTGTGGGAATTCCTGATGTACCAATCCAGTTAACTGTCATAAAACGAAATGAAGTTAGAGTGGCTGTGACTTCTTCTTAATGTATTTACATTGGCTCCAAGTAATATTATCTCCTCTAAGTGGACACAAACTACTATTTTGTGATTAATTTAAGATTTTTTTCTAAGTATCAAGATCACTGGCTATTGTCACAGAATTGACTTCTCATACCTTTTTAGAAAAACTTGCTTGCCCATTTATGGTCCTGCTATACGATTTCCCATTCTGAAGACAGAGATTTAAATTCTGTTTAGCTCAGGTAATACACAAATACCACTCCCATATGTTGTGAGATGGATGCCTTGATTTTAAATTCACATCAGTATTGGAAGAATTACGAATTTCATTAGTGAGAGCAATCTTTCCACTAATATAGACAATGAACACCCTCTTGTGACTCGGTAAATGGTCTTTGAGGAGTTGCAGTGACTGAATACTCATCCAACTACAAGAACCTAGTAATAACCCCTTTGGACAAATAATGAACAATCAAAACATGAACTCGTAGGAGGACAATTATGTCAAAATGCCTACATGTGAAGTGACAAAAGGGAATATGAATTGGTCTCAAGACCAAAAAGACCTCTTGGAAGAGATGAAAAAGGTTTTTAAAAATCAAGAGAAATAATAGAAAAATTGGGAAAAGAAATGAGTTATACAAGAGAATTATAAAAAAAAGAAGTCAGCAGCTTGGAAAAGGAAGCACAAAAAATGACTGAAGAATACAATTCCTTAAAAAATATGGTTGGCAAAATGGAAAAAAAAAATCAAGACTCAAGAGAAGGATAAAAAGGTAAACAGGAAAGGGAAATCATAAGGGACTTAATAGGGTTAAACTGTCTACAATCCTACATGGGAAGATGATATTTAAAACTCATGAGACCTTTCTCATTATTAGGGTAGTTAGGAGTACATATAGATAGTGGGTACAATATGAAGGCATGATATTTTTTTAAAAAAATTAAAATTAAGGGGTGAGAAAGGAATATACTGGGGAAAAGAATGAGAGAGGTAGAATGGGGTAAATTATCTTACATAAAAGAGGTAAGAAAAAGCTTTTATAGTGGGAGGGAAATGGGTGGAAGTGAGAGCGAGCCAGTAAATCTTACTCTCATCAAAATTGACTCTAAGAGGAAATAACATACACACTCAATTGGGAATAGAAATCTATCTTACCCTACAGGAAAGTAGGAGGGGAAAAGGATTAAGGGGAGGGGGGTGTTGATGGAAAGGAGGGCAGATTGGGAGAAGAGGCAATCAGAAGCAAAACACTTTTGAGAAGGGACAGGGTGAAAGGGGAGAGAGAACAGAATAAATGGGAGGGGGAAATAGGATGGTGAGAAATACAGTTAGGCCATAATAACTGTGAATAAAATATTGAAGTAAATTTCTCTGATAAAAACCTCACTTCTCAAACATATAGAGAAATGAGTCAAACTTACAAAAAATTTGAGCCTTCCCCAATGAAAAATGATCAAAAGATATAATCAGTTTTCAGATGAAGTAATTAAAACTATGTATAGCCATATGAAAAAATTTTCTAACTTACATTTGATAAATGGTAAAAGGATATGAACAGGCAGTTTTCAGATAAAAAAATTAAAGCTATCTACAGCCATATGGGAAAAATATTCTACATTACTCTTGATTAGAGACATGCAAATTAAAACAACTCTGAGGTACCATCCCACACCTATCATATTGGCTAATATGACAGAAAAGGAAAATAATAAATGTGGGAGAAAATGTGGGAAAATTGAAACACTAATGCATTGCTGGTGGAGTTGTGAACTGATCCAGCTGTTCTAGAGAGCAATTTGGAGCTATGTCCAAAGGACAATCAAACTGTGCATACCCTTTGACCCAGCAATACCACTACTAGGTCTGTATCCCAAAGAGATTAAAAAAAAAAAGTAAAAGGACCTACATGCACAAAAAATGTTTATAGCAGATATTTTTGTGGTGGCAAAGAATTGGAAACTGAGGAAATGCCCATCAATAGGGGAATAGCTGAACAAGCTGGGATATGTAATGGAATATTATTGTGCACTAAGAAATGATAAGCAGGTGGATTTCAGAAAAACCTGGAGTTACATGAACTGATGCTTAGTGAAGTAAGCAGAATCAGGAGAACATTGTACATAGTAACAGCAACTTTGTGCGATGATCAACTATGACTGACTCAGCTCTTCTCAGCAATATAGACATCTAAGACAATTCCAAAAGACTCATGATGGAAAATGCCACCCACATCCACAGAAAGAACTATGGAGTCTGAAATGCAGACTGAAGAAGACTATTTTCTTTTTTTGGTGGGTTTTCCCTTTTGTTTTGTTTCTTCTTTCACAACATGACTAATATGGAAATATGCTCATATGATTTCACATATATAACCTATATCAGATTGCTTGCCATCCTGGGGGGAGGAGGGAGAAAAAATCTGGAACTCAAAATCTTATAAAAATACTATTTACAAAAAAAATGTTGAGCTCAACAATCTTTGAAAAATGAAAGAAACTTGCATGAAATCATGAAGAGAAAAATGAGCAGAACCAAGAGAACATTGTATATAGTAACAGCAGTATTGTTTTAAGAATGACTTTGAGTGAATAAGTAATTTTGACTATTATAAATACCCAAATTAACTATAAAAGTCATATGAAGAAAGATGCTACCTGCTTTCAGAGAAAGAATTCATTATATATAGAATAGAAATATATATAGAATAATTATATATATATATGTATTTATACACGTATGCATATATGCAAATACACCTATTTGTGTCTAATGGTAGCCTTCTAAAGGGCGAGAGGGGTGGAGGATTTAGAAAAAAGGAAAAAGAGATGTATAAATGTATAAAAGATAATTTTGTTGTATATTTGAAAGGAATAGTATGTTGTATGTAGCAGATTGGCAGTTTCATGCACATCATCTTTTTTTATTGTACTATGTTATGGAAATGCTTGTTTTATTCAATAAATATGTATTAATATTAATTTTTAAAATGAAAAGAGAAAAGAAAGAGAAAAAAAAAGTTTTGATGGTCACAATGTAGGCCACAGGCTTAATACCTCTACTCTATGCCACCTCTCTTTCATCACGCCCAAAATTGAACTCATCTTTCAAAAGCCACTTATCTATTCCTATCAAGTGCACCACCACCACTCTTCTAGTCACAAAGGCTTGCAACCTCAGTGTCATCCTTGATCCTTACTATCCCTTGCCCTACACATCCAAATAGTTAAAGTTCTACCTCTATAATATCTCTTTTATATGTCCCCCTCTCTCTATTCATACCTAAGACCTGGGCCCTACCTTCTGCTTGGACTATTGCAAAAACAATAGGTGTCTCCAACTTGTCTTTCCCTTTACAATCCATTCTCCATATAGCTGCCAAAGTCACCCATTTAATAAACTCCAAATGTTTCCTATTACCTCTATGATAAAATTTACCATTTAAATCCCTTTACAACTTGACCCCATCTAAGTATCTGGGCCTTATTATGTTACTTGCCTTCACACACTCTAAAGTCTAGTTAGTTCTTGCTGTTTCCCATACATAATAGTCCCTTTCCTATCTCTATGCCTTTGTACAGGCTGTCCTTTATATTAGAATGGCCTCTTTCTTTTTCTCCACCTCTTATAATTCCTAATTTCCTTGAGAGCTCAGCTAAAGCCACACCTTTGATATGAAAACATTCCCTGTTCTCTCCAGCTGTTCAGCTCACTTGTCCAGTCCCTTCCAAATTATTTTGTATTTATTTTGTATGTACTTGTATTTCTCCCATGATATAATGTAAACTCTATGATGGCACAGACAGTTTCATTTCAGTTTTTGTCTCCCTCAACGCCTAGCATAGTGCCTTTCACATAGTAGCTGCTTAACAAACATCCACTACCTGATTAATGGTATGAGCTAATGAAGTATTGATAATTTCCTTAAGCATTATCAACTTCATGGAAATTCTTAAATACCATGGAACCACATCATTAACCAGGAAAGGAACTGTTTCTCCATGACATCAGAACAACTGATTTATAATGTTCGACAAACCAACAACCAATTTAAAAAAGAAAACAAAAAACCCAGCCCATCATTTTAGCATCATACAGGAGGGGGAAATGGCTGATTCACTTTCAGCTAGGCATTGCTGAATAACAGCAGGTGAGCCTAATTGTAAGAATGCTTTTGAAATGCAGGTTGTAATATTACTAAGAGGGAAAAAAAGAGTATGCCAATAAAAAGATGAAAAACAAATAAATAAACAAATAAATAAATAAATTGATGTCTGAGGTGACACTTACTGAAAAGTATGACTACTTGAGGATTCCTGAAAACCCACTGTATCCCATCTTCATGAAGACAAATGTGAGAATGGAAATATTAAACTGAGTATTTTCTGTAGTAATATAAATTCCACTCAACAATTACAGTCATTTTAAAAAACTATAGATGCTTAACCTGAAGAAGAAATGATTTCTCTAAAAATTCTCTTTTGAAGTATTTGAAAGGCTACTACGTAAGGATTAGAACTGATTACTTGGCTCCAGGAACTATAAACAAGGAATAAAGGTTATAAAGAACTGAATTTTGGAATTAAGGAAGAACTTCTTCCAAATGAGAATCATCTGAAAAAGGAATACATCATAATGTGTTCTTTATTACTAGAGGTGTTCATGTGGAAGCTAGAAAGCCACTTGTTTGAGAATGTGGTAGAACTGGTTCCTCCTGTTCGCTAACTGTTGGAGTAGACTGACTAGATGTGCCTTCCAATTTTGAAATTCAAGAATTCTATGATCCTTACACAAAACTGACTATTAAAGTTATCTCACTGTATTACCTCACACTGTAAGTTCCTTTATGGCAGGACAAATATCTTAATAAAACTTTCAGCTTTCTTGAACCTAGACTAGTGCTCTGTACTTAGCAGATAATTAATAAACCTTTGTGTAATTTAATTCTATTATAAATTAAATGAAAAAAATTAAATAGGTATAAAATATAAAAACATAACACATATTGATATATTTGGCTAATAAAAACAGTAGGAGAAAATATTGCCTGAGAGGAAAATTTTAAAGTATATCTCATTATATATATTATAAAAATATATGTAATACACAAAGATCCAAATAGTTTGAAGGAAAAGCCTAGGGAGGAAAAAAAAAACGAAAACATAAGACAAATTTGTGAAGAGGTATTATGGTTCTTAGACATAATATAAACAGTAAGTTACTCTTTTTATATCAGAGTTATCACCTGAGTCATAGCATTCAGAGAACTGTTGGCCTGTGTCAGTTTCTTTCTCTACAGGCTTTGTTAATGCCACCATCTTAGGAGGGTTTATGAATGCACAATCACTGCTTTTTTGGCTGATGCAGCTGGTCTGGCTCTGCGTCTCAGACTGCTCCTCTTCTATGCAAGGATTCAGAAGAATGCTGTCCATATTTCTAGCCATTCTCTGCTTTCTTTTTTCATTCTAACAAAAAACAAAGCACAGCATCTTTACTGTCACAATACGTTTATGCAGTTTCAAAGTTTAAAGCACCAAGTCTTAATAAATTAAATAAATTAAAAATAATCATTTAGAAAAAAGGTAAAATTGGAGTCTTTTAAAAATGTTTATATATTTCAAGAAATAAGAGAAAAAACAGACTCTATACTGGTACAATATAACCCAAGAAAGTGAAAATAAAATCCTAAGAAGTATGTATTTTTTACTTTCATTACAACGGTTTTGAAAGAACATTAGCTATTTCATAGAGATTTTTTTTTAAACAAAGTTTTAGGAAGAAAAAGTCACACATCATAAAAATAAAACGCAGACTACTTCAATGTATGTAGAGAAAATTTAGAGGTTTTACAACTTAAAAAATAAGGTGCACATATTTTCTCTTTTTAATGTATGATCTACTACAAGCCTGTACAACCTGTAGCCCATGAACTGCAGGTTGTGCAGGCCTGATCTGCTAAGAAGTGTTATTATAAACATACAATGTGTGATTTCATCATATCAATATTCGTTCTGGATTTTTAACACGGAACTTAGTTCACTATGTTCTACAGTAATGTTTCTCTTCTTTATACTATGAGATGTGTAGCATGCTTTGTGGGATGGATCATGGTACTCTATACTCTGTATGAGCAATTTATTGGTATATTGCTTATAAAAACGTTTACTGTAGTATACAAAGGCTGTCATTTGCAAGCTCCTCACACAAAATAAATGTCTATGTCAAAACATAGAATAATGCTTCAATTTTTCTTTTTAGGCAATGTTTTCAAATGAACAAAAAATGAACATATTTAACAGAAATTAGACATGATAACTCATGTTACTATTTTTTTGCACTCATCCTTGCAAATAGGAATGCCATTAAAGGAAATGTAACTGGAACTGGTATCTGAAGAACTGAATATTCTGATAGCTAAGAAAACTAAGAGGTCCAGTATCTTCTTCTGTAAGCTGCCTTCCCATCTCAGCAACAAGAGCAACTGGGAGAAATCAATCATTACTTGTTGCCCAATGGGAAACTATAATGAAGCAATAAGAAGGATTTTAGAAGACAATATGTATAAGCAGAAACAACTTAGCTATATGAACAATCTGCCAGGGAACAGAAAATAAGCCCAGGAGCTGCCAAGATTAAGGAGTTATTGAGATGTGTTAACATGTAGATGTCATCACACAGACATAGACAGAGAGACAGATACACACATACATATACATACACAAACACACAAGAATTCAATCTATATATAAATTAATTTTGGTAAAAATTTTAGGCAACTGAAAATTATATTCACAAAGGGATATTCTGACACATGAGTGTTTATGGTAATTTAGAACCCTTTACAACATACTCAAAAAATGGTCAGAAAACAATTTATAAATTCTAAAATGCATTTACGTATTAGCACAATGAGATAACACCAGCAAGACAGGGAAAGAAGAGACACAATACTTAAGAATAAATATCCTACCAAGAATAACACAATTCTGAAATGTAAGAAACAATGCATTCATTATGTTCATTCCCCCATTTTGCTTCAGTTCATTCTCATCTCTTTCTGACAACTATGCTTTCCACCTTCACAGGGAAAGGGATAGGTTCTGAACCTTTCATTTACTTCATTGGTATAAAGACCTCCCTCTGAGGAAGGAACTTCTGCCAATGCAGGGCAGCACCTTCTCTGCAAATCAGAATCATTCAGAGTTGCCTGGATACTCAGAAGTTAAGTGACTTGCACAGAGTCACACAGCCAGTATATGTCAGAAACAAAACTGGGTCTTCCTGGCATCGACACCAGCTCTCTCTTTACTTACACCACACTAGAAAATCATATTGGTTATTCATCCACCAAACCTGTCAGGTGTCTCTTGGTAACTATTTCTCTGGCTTTCCTTCAATGTTCCTCTAAATGCTTTCTTATGGACTGTGGCTTAAAAACAAAAATTGCATTTGTCATCACACATACCTCTGCAATTACTACATTGATAGGCCGAAAAGGGCTGATAATAAATGGATCAGAATCCACTTCAAAATCATAATTTTCATCAAATTCAGGATGCTCTGTAGCATGCTCTCTCTCCTTTTGTTCTCTGTTAGATGAATAAGCAAAAAGAAATCTTTTACTCAAAAGTCCTTTTATAAGCAACTTTTTAAAAATTTTAAAAATTTTTTAAAAATTCAAACAATTTGGCATAAAATTATTTGTAACTGACCTTTGGTCATGTTTCAGGACTTCAAACATTCTTCTAGCCTAAACCATGTGATGGCCTTGTACAAGATTATCTCTCTCTTGTTTCCCTACCCTTGAATAGGCTGGTCCCCCCATTCCTCCTCACCTCTGCCTCTTAGAATCCCAGGTTTCCTTTGTAGCTAAGCTTGAGAATTCAAGAGATTGTTTTGGTTTTGTCTTTCTGTCCCAGGACCTACTACAGTACCTGGCATACAGCAGGCTTTTAACAAATGCTTACTGATGGACTGATATTTTTTTTAAACTTCAGTGCAACTTGACTGATCGTGCATTTTTTAAAATTACTATTTATTCCAACTGACAATAATTCGTATTGGTATCACCAGTTTCTCCAAATTAAAAAAAAAAGTCTGCATTAGCACTATAACTGGTGTAGAAGACACAACTAACTTTTATTCCCCAAATCTTTATCTTCTTCACTATGACACAGCTTATGTTTGACAAATATAGTATGATATACTAGATGATAATTATTTCTTTGTCTGACTTTCCTGTCTTTTTCTTAAATATATGTAAAAATAGAGAGCATGCACAACTATGGATAGAATTTACTTACATATTTAAAAGACAGAAAACAAGTAGAAAAATAAACATCGCTAGAACTCACATTTTAAATGATTGCATAATAGTTGTATTCCTGAACAACAGTATAAGGACCTATTAAAAATTTGTTTTATGTGTCACGTAAATAAAATAAAGCAGTACTTCAGAAAACTAGCTATCAATGGCATATGCACTGTCTATGTGATATATAGCAAATAATACCATATGTGAAAGGTAATTAACATTTCCTGAAATAAAACAATCAGAGATACAATAAAGAACATTTAAAAGTTTATTAGCTTTGGATCATAAAACATAATAAAATTAAGGGTTATAGCTGAAACTTTTAATTCTTATACATATAATGAAAAAAATGACTAATGTAACCTTTCATGCTTCATCTTAGTTTGACCTCATTTTTCAAGTTATTCATTTAGTAGTCATTTAAAAAATATAATCAAGTATATCTATGAACATAACATTAAAAATAGTATTTTGTTTTCCAAATACACTGGAAGTGAGTAACTAGATCAATGAGACTAAATACTAGGAAATTAAAAGTTTCTGTATCACTCAGATAATTATGGAGGCTCTGCTCACCAGAAGGGGCCTTGGAACACAGGTATGGTTAGGTCTGCATGGGGAAGCAGGAAAGGAAAAAAATGGAATGTTACAGGGAAACTTGCCTACCAAGTGCCTGTAGTTTCTTGGGAAGGAAAGAATAAAAATACTTTGAAAAAAATTACTAATTATTTCTTTCATAAAAATCACTCATCAAAATACTTGCTTTGTGTACAACAGGAAAAAGAAGAGACTCAAAGAATCTCAGCGACACGTATATTTTTTTTGATAGAACTTGTCCAAGTTTAATCTATATGTATTACTATTGTTTTGTACTTTAAAAACAACACAATACTCACAAAATGTACTGTTTACAGGATCACAAATTTAGTCCAAACTGCTAATTTGAAGATGAGAAAACTGAGGGCCAGAAAGGTTAAGTGCTTCGTTCATAATAGCACAGCTAGGAAGTATCTGAGGCAGGATTCAAATCCAGGTTTTCCTGATTCTGAGTCCAGCACTTTATCTACTATACCAGGTTAATCACGGTTTAAAAAATGGAATACACAAAATAGCTTGATTAAAGCCAAAAGAATTCAAGGTTTCTATGGAAACTAATATCCTCATGATTATATTATTTATCAATCATCAATAAGGCTAGAAAAATGATGAAACCTAATTCTCTCTGAAGACAAATACAGACATTACTTCATGCCTGACTTTCTTAGGAAAAGGAAAATTAATAACTCTACACTCTACAAATATTTCTCCCTATAGATATCAAATCTATATGTGGCTTAAGGGAAAAATTATCATCAGAGAACAGTATTAGCATAGATTGTGAAAAACATGGATCTGTTTCCCTATGGACAAAACTCATCTTTTTCTGGTTTCTGGCCAATACCTAGGAGAATAATAACCTAGTAGCCCCACCCTATCATGAGCTCTACCATGCCTTTACATGTCCATACAACCTATACTCCACGTTCTCGTAAAAGGTTATTATGTCCCAAGTAAGGAGGAGACAATTACCTCTTCCTTTCTTCCTTGACATCAGAGACAGAGATACACAGGTTAAGCGTAGGAATAGTGTATGAATTTTTATTCATATTTTAAATTTCAATTTATGTTTATGTTGGAGCATTATTTAAAAATAAAAAAACACAATTAATTTCTAATCCAGCATTTAATAACTTAAACCTTAAGTGTTTCATCCAGGCAATATTTTTTTTGAAGAGTACAATTTTTCTTACCCTTCCACAAGAGAAAAGCAAATAAACAGATTTTGATCTAACAATTCCTTTGAAAATCCACTTTGTCTCAAAATGGACAAGGAGGATAGACAAAATTATAAAACTCTGAGAGATGATGAAGCCTTATAAGCAAAAAAAGATGTTCTTTGTGTAAATTTGCCTACAACATAATATTTGTATAATAATGATAGTTGTATGATATTACAAGGAGTATTACAAATATGTCATCCAAACTTGCTGGTGCAAAAGATCCACAGAAATAAAAATTCCTACCCAGTAGCTTCCTTCATACAGAAAGAGGAAACTGAATGGATAAAAACAACAAATATAAATTACTCCCACAATTTTGGTGTTTTTGACATGAGATGCATTTGGCTGAGTCCTTTAATTAGTACCTTTCTCTTCGTAGTTTTCTCACTCGCTCAATTCGTTCATGTCTCTCTACTTTCTCAAGAATGTGTTGAGTAACTGAGTCTTTTTCAACTCGGTCATTTAAGGCATCAAAGTCGTTTGCAATGGCACACAGCAACCAATAAAGACCTGTTCTTATGGCCTTGTCAAAATTCTTCCCAGAGCCCCAGACTGCTGAACAGGATTTCTAAAAACATGGTAAACAACTGTTTAATGAACATTACCTAAACACAAAATATAAGGTATTTATACATATTAAGATAACTGTCTCAAAAATAACTACACAAGATAAAATAAAAAAAGAATTTATCGTTTCATTTAACTTACAAAATGCACTGTTTACAGGATCACAAATTTAGTCCAAACTGCTAATTTGAAGATGAGAAAACTGAGGGCCAGAAAGGTTAAGTGCTTTGTTCATAATAGCACAGCTAGGAAGTGTCTGAGGCAGGATTCAAATCCAGGTTTTCCTGATTCTGAGTCCAGCACTTTATCTACTATACCAGGTTAATCAAATGTAAGTAATATACTTTACAAACTTTAAAGCATAATGTATATGTCAGCTATTATTAATATTATCATCATCATTAATCTATTTGCACATAAACCAACTGAAATACAGGAAGTTCTACTTGTTGCTGCTAATTTGCACCAGGTGTTTGTCCACCTGCCCCTGCAGAAATGCTCCGGTTGTCAGATAAGGCCAGTGTCTAGGGAACTGGCCCCCCACCTGATACATGCTTACGCTAAAGACTCAGATTTGGAGCAGATGACCAAGTCTTCATGCTTCAAAGTGTAGATCTTTTAGCTGATGCTGTTGCCATTACGATGGGGCCAAATGGAAGAACTGTGATCGTTGAACGGAGTTGGGGAAGTCCCAAGGTAACAAAAGATAGTGTGACTGTGGCAAAAGCAATTGACTGGAATGAAAAATATAAAAACATTGGTGCCAGGCTAGTTCAGGATGTTGCCAATAACACAAATGAAGAGGCTGGGAATGGCACTACCACTGCCACAGTCTTTGCACGACCTGTTGCTAAAGAAGGCTTTGAGATGATTAGCAAAGGAGCAAATCCAGTGGAGATCAGGAGAAGTGTGATGTTGGCTGTTGATGCTGTCATTACTGAGCTTAAGAAGCAGTCTAAACCTGTCACAATTCCTCAAGAAATTGCTCAGGTTGCTACAGTTTCTGCAAATGGAGACTGAGAAATTGGCAACATAATATCTGATGCAATGAAAAAGGTAGGACAAAAAGGTGTCATCACACTAAAGGATGGAAAAACATTGGATGACGAATTGGAAATTACTGAAGGCATGAAGTTTGACAGAGGCTATATCTCTCCATATTTTATTAATACAGCTAAAGGTCAGAAATGCAAATTCCAGGATGCCTATGTTCTCTTAAGTAAAAAAAAAACCAAACATATCTCTTGTGTCCAATATATTGTACCTGCACTTGAAATTGCAAATGCCTACCATAAGCCTTATAGTCATAATTGCTGAAGATGTCAATGGAGAAGCACTAAGTACACTGGTTTTGAACAGGCTAAAAGCTGGGCTGCAAGTTGTTGCAGTAAAAGCTCCAGGATTTGGTGACAACAGGAAGAATCACCTTAAGGATATGACTATTGCTATTGATGGTACAGTGTTTGGAGATTTGGGACTGGCTCTGAATCTTGAGGATATTCAATCTCAGGACTTTGGAAAAGTTGGAGAGGTAATTGTGAAAAAAGTTGATGTCATGCTTTTGAAAGGAAAGGGTGAAAATTCCCAAGCTGAAAAACATGTTCAAGAAATCATTGAACAATTAAAGATTACTACTAGTGACTATGGAAAAGAAAAGTTAAATGAATGTTTGGCCAAACTTTCTGATGGAATAGCTGTAATAAAAGTTGGTGGAACAAATGATTAGAAGCAAATGAAAATAAAGACCAAGTTACTGATGCGCTTAATGCTACATATGCTACTGTTGAAGGCATAGTTCTGGGAGGTGGCTGTGCATTGCTTCGATGCATTCCTGCCTTAGAAACATTAACTTCAGCTAATGAAGATCAAGAAATTGGAATAGAAATTATTAAGAAGACACTGAAAATCCCTGCAATGACCATTGCTAAGAATCTGGGGTGTTGAAGGCTCATTGATAGGTGAGAGAATGTTATAAATCTCCTCAGAGATAGGTTATGATGCCATGCTTGGAGATTTTGTGAATATGGTTGAAAAAGGAATAATTGACCCAACTAATGTTGTAAGAACTGCTTTGCTGGATGCTGCTGGTGTAGCTTCTCTGTTAACTACAGCAGAACTTGTTGTCACTGAAATTCCTAAAGAAGAGAAAGAACCTGGCACGGGAGGGATGAATGGCATGGATGGAGGCATGGGAGGCAGCATGTTGTAATTTCCTAGAATAATGCTCTATCAATATGATCTGTGATGCAAGCAAGACTCTGCTAACTTCAGAGAAGTCAGTTGGAGAGAGGATGGAAATATAGGCTGATGTTCATGAAAATCACTATAACCATCAGTTACTGGTTTCAGTTGACAAAATATGTAATGGTTTACTGCTGTCATTATTCATGATACAGATAATTTATTCTATATTTTTTGAATAAAGACATTTGTACATTCCTAAAACTGGATGAAAGATCCATGTTCCAATGTTCTGCTTTCAACTAAAAACAGTTGAGGCATTTTTACTATTATTCTATTAAATCAGAATTTTAGTGTTTGCCATCACTAGAACAAAAGTTCAGAAGCAGCCTTTCTGTATTAGCGCGTGTGCGCACGCGCGCGCACACACACACACACACACACACACACACACACACACACACACACACACACACTCTGCCACTGGCACCCTCCCTTAGCCTGGTCTATCAGTCAGGTGTTATAGACAATATTTGGGATATCTCGAGGCAAGAGTGGAACTTACACACTGACTGTGAAAACTGCCTTAAAGCCTCAATTCATTTTGTAATACCACGCTTAATTACTGGATCCTCTTCACACGATTTTCAACACTATAAATTTATATATATATACATATATATATGTAGTCTATTTTTAATCAACATTTTTTCACTAGAACTGTGATTTCACTGATATAAAGACCTTGATGAAAGGAAACTTTTTTACTAGAATACATTGGTAACTGCTCTGCAACTATATTTAAAATTTTTTTTTCCTGCCTATATGAAAGTCAGTGTAATGTATAGCATACTTCATATGATATGATTACAGGTTCTACACTAGTGAAGAACTAAAAATTTTTTGAAAAATGTTATAGTACTGATGTGACCATTTGCAAAAGTTAATTTAACTGAAAATAAATGTTATAGCATTTATCAACACCAAGAAGTATAGAGTCAGAGAAAACATCTGTCAAATTATAGTGCTTATATAATGACTTTTATCTGAAAAGACTAGCATTTTTCATAAAAATAAAGTTATTTATAAAATAATTAGCAAAGATAGAATGAGGGATGGAGAAACTTACTATCTCACAGCGACATTTTTGCTCATTGACAAGTTTTTCTAGAGATAAACGGTGAATTATTTCTGCTTCTGATAAAGACCCTACTTTGTCTCGTTTATTTGCCAACCTAGAAAACAAAAATAAGAAGTGGTTTTACCACAAGCTTATGATCAAGTTATTCAAAAATCAAGCCATTCAAAAATATCTTAAGATACACTGACATCAAAAGTTTTCATCCACTAACTAGAGATTTTAGAAAATTCTGTAAGATTTACTTTACCCTTTCTTCCTTTGTATTTGTAAAGCAAATTTTTAATAGACTCTTAGAATTAATCTAGTTTTCTGCTCATATTGCTAGGTGTAGAAAAGTCCTCCTCATTTTTATCTTAGCAACAGCCTTCATTCCCCAAAAGTCATATCAATGTGATGTTATTCTACTTTCTCTATAGCCTGTATTTAAGTACCAAAGAGCTAGGACTGTGTCTATGATTTTCTTCCTTATACAGTATCAGAAATGAGGTAATATACATAAAACATTTTGCAAACTTTAAAACACTACTTGTCCATTGTTATTATTTTTTCATACCACCTAACAGAACCAAGCACAATTAGGTACATAATAAATTTATTTACCTGAGTTACATGTATCACCCCAGTAGAATATAAGCTCTTGAAATCAAGAACCATTTTTTGTCTTTTGTGTCCCAAGGGTCTAGCACAGAGCAGGTTCTTAATAATCATCTGTTCAACTGCACGATTGTAAGGGAATGCAATTAAACAAAAGAAAACAAAATCTCACATCTCCCTGCACCCCTGCCAAATCATACCATGTTAGAAATTATATTTGTTAGATTCCTGAGAGTTTCTATTTGCTACAGAGTAAAGATTTCTAATAGTGATATTTAATAATTACTGCCATTTATATAGTGTTTTAACATTTGCAAAGAATGTCATACATGCTCATTTGAGCCTGACCACAACAACCCTGCTAAGTACTTACTACAGGTAACATTATTCTCATTTTGCAGTTATAAAAACACTCAGCAACATTTAATGACTTACCCATGGTTATACAGCAAGTGTCAGAGGTAGGATTAGAACATACATTCTTCCTAAGTCCAAGTTTAGCATTCTGTTCAGTATACTACAACACCTTATATCTGAGATCTTTTTGTTTGCCTAGGTGCAGCCCTCTTTCTGATGTGCATCTCACAAAAATATCTACATAACTGAACTACAGAGCTTTCTATCACTTATCATTTTCACCCTTTAAAATGAAACATGACTAGTACATTGTGAACTAAATGTCATGAATAACTTAAATCTCTGTGCCAAGATTCAAGTTTTTTGAGTTAAGTTGTGTATGCAACACTTCCTCTCTTAACAAGAGCAAATACTTGAGCTTAATATCACACAAACTGAATATTAAGCTACCAATAATCTTGTTTCCCTCTCTTAATGTGTACTTCAGTAAATTCTTGGGAAAAATGTCTAGAAAATTAGCATGAATAGAGAATCAAACATATACATAAATTAATGATGCTTTCAGGGAAGAATAAAAAGAGAATGCCAATTATGCAATTTTATTTAAAAGGAAAATATCTTTAAAACTGACCAGGAAAAATCCTTGTATGGCACTGATTATTTAAAGAATTATAATAAAATAAGAAATGATATAAAAGAGCAATTTCTCCTATTTGGTAGTATCATTAAATGAAAGAGCCCAGTAAATCATAAAAACATATCAATATACAGTCAAAATCTTTCAATAATTCAATAGGATTACAACTACAAGGATGCTTGGAAACATGATGTCTTTCCTCCTAACTGCTTAATCAAATCTAGTAACTCTTAAAACTTTTAGCATGGTGCCACATAAGACTTTTAAGAGTAATATTACCATTAAGCAACACATTTCTACTTACATAATTTCCTCACTGAAAGATAACTGCTACTTTTGGGAGGACAAAAATGAAAGTTATCTAAAAATATCATATGATTCAAAATATTCAGAAACTGAAGGAAATTATAAAATAGTATTTAATGATAGTCAAAACATAATTAATTCAACAAACCTTTTTAAAGTGTCTACTCTGTGTAAATCACCATGTTAAATTTTAGGAAAGACAAAAAATTTAGGTAAAACATGGACTCTGCGCTCAAGGAATTAATGATCTGGGAGGAACATACAACATTTATAGATAATTATAAGGCATATATATGTATGTGTGTATAGATGGATGAATATAGGAAAGAAGAAAGGAAGATGAATAGAGAAGATGAATAAGAGAGATTTATAGAGCTGGAATCAGCAGTGGTTAGTAGCTAATACGCAAAAAGGAAGAAGAAAATCAAAGACATCAAGGTAGAAATAGTTAAATAAGAAGGAAGAACAAGATTAGAAAAAACTTAAGATTGGAATTATGCTGTTTGAAATGCAGGTGGAATGTGAAGTTGATAATAAAAAGTAATTAAAAATAAAGCATAAGTACATGCTTTATTTTTTAAAAATTAATATGTATATGTGTGTGTGTATATATATATATATACATATATATACATATATATACATATATATACATATATATACATATATATACATATACATACATATACATACATATACATATATATACATATATATACATATGTATATATATATATATATATATATATATATATATATATATATATATATATATATATATATATATATATATATATATATATATATATAAACATGAGAGACTGACAGAAAGACTGGCTTAACTGGAAAGAGTAATCCAACTGCTTTTATTTCACAGAGAACACTGAGGCCCAGTGAGATTAAGTGACTTGCCCAAAATAATGCTGGTAGCAAGTTTCAGAGCTGAGATTTGAACTCAGGTCCTCCAATGCCAAATCCAGCTTTCTTTTCCATTATATTCAAGTTGAGGGGTTATTCTGTTCCTCCGGATATACTTGGATTTATCTTAATCCAAAGAACTGTGTTAAGAATTTCTTTCTGTTTACTGGTATCTTCAGCCTCAGTTTCTGGGTTAGGGCTTTTCACCAGGACCAGTCTCTATTACCTTCCTGAACTTCTGAATGGGGTAGCTAAGCTCTGATCTAGTCCCCACTATAGCCTCAATGCCACTGCTATAGCCTTGCTACAGTTGTGAATGGGAGGTCTTGGCCCTGGTCTCCCTCTATGCCTTATTGTGTAACCCTGATCTGGAATGTGTAGTTAGAAAATAAAGTTGGCATCATCAAGTCTGACTTCTTGCCTCATTCCCTGTCTTGCCCTGGTGGCCCAACTCTGGCACTGGCTTTGGCCTCTTTTCTGTCTCTTCATCCTTGCCCATTTAAGAAACAGAAGTGAGCTCTGTCTCCCTTACAAAACTCCAACCAAATGCCAGACACTACGCTAGCTAGCTTCAAGCCCTTATAAGGCCTGAGGCACAAAAACTGCTTAGGTGCCTCTTCCCATCCTCCCCTCCTCTCAGTCAATAAATATTTATTAAGTACTTGGGGCCATCTCCAGTTGTCCTGATCAATATCTGGCCACTAGACCCAGATGGTTTTGGAGGAGAAAGTGAGGCTAGTGATTTTCAATGCCCTCCTTCACATAAATCCAATTCACTTAAAAGTCATGGCATCATCTTCCTGATGTTATGTTCCTCTTCAAGAATGAAGGGCAAGCTGCACAACCACATTAAGTACCTACTATGTTACAGTACAAAAAGAGGCAAAAGACAGTTCCTGTTTTCAAAGAGCCCTCAATCTAATGGGGAAGGCATTCAACAACTTTGTTCAAACAACCTATCTAGAGGAAAAATAGGAAATAATTAAAAAGGGAGAAGCATTAAAATTAAGAGGGATTGGGAAAGATGTTCTGGATTTTGGTCGGGACTTGAAGTCAGAGAAATCAGTAGGCAGAGATGAGGAAGGACAGTATTCTAGGTATGGGAGACGGCCTAAGAAAACATCCATAGGAAAGAGATGGAGTATTTTGTTCAAGGAACAGCCAGGAGGGCCTGTGCTGCAGGATCTTAGAGTGAGTGGAGATGGGGGTGGGTGGAAAAGTCATATGCAAGAACACTAGAAAGGTATGATTTGGTGAGGTGGGGGTGACTGGGAATAAAGGGCTTTGAACACATAACAGGATTTTTGTATTTTATCCTGGAAGCAATAGGGATCCAATGGAGTTTATTAGGTTAGGGGGCGGAACAGGGGTCAAAGAGAGGATGGCCCATCTTGTACTTTAGGAAAATCACTTTGGTGGCTGAATGGAGAATGAACTGGAGTAAGGAGAGACTTGAGGAAGGCTGACCCAGTAGCAGGCTACTATAATAGTCCAAGCATAATCTTATGAGGGTCCTGTACCAGAATGGTGGCAATATCTGAGAAGAAACGAAGGTATATTTGAGAGACGTTACCAAGGTGAATTCTATAGGCGTTGGCAACAGACTGGATATGGGGTTGGGGGGTAGAGGTGAGAAGGAAGTGTTACACCTAGGTTGCAAGGCTGAAAGGATGGTATTACCTTTCATAGTAACAGGGAAGTTCAGAAAAAAGAGAGGGAATAAACATTTTTTATTTAGTTGTTTTTCAGTCATGTCCAACTCTTCGTGACCCTATTTGGGGTTTTCTTGACAAAAATACTAGAGTGGTTCACCATTTCCTTCTCTAGCTCATTTTACAGATGAGGAAACTGAGGCAAACAGGGTTAAGTGACTTGCCAGCTAGTAAGTGTCTGAGGCCAGATTTGAACTCAGGTCTTCCTGAATCCAGGCCTGATGCTGTATTCACTGTACCACCTAGCTGCCCAATAACCATTTATATGGTACCTATTATGTACCACACACTCTGCTGAGCACTTTAAAAATATGATTTCATTTGATCACAACCTGTGAGGTAGTGCTGTTATTATTCCTATTTTACAGTTGAGTCCTAGAGCCAGTATCTGGATTTGAGGCTGGATTTGAACTCAGGTCTTCCTGAATCCAGTGCTTTCTACATTGTACTAACTAGCTGTATCAAAAATATTATTCAGTTTTGGACATGTATTCCCTTAAATCTATCCATAGTAAAAACTTCTCATATAGCGGGAAAAAAAGAAGCACAGAACAGGTCCCTAGGGGTCAC